CAGAGAGTGGCTGTGTGAAAACCTGTCCTAGTCACACGTTCCACAGCTTCTCAGCTGCAGTCCCTCTCACATCCTGTCCTCTCTTACATTAGCTGCTTTGTAGCCCTCAGATTAATAACATTTGTGAGTTCAAAGGCAGTAAATGGAACTATTTCAGTTACTGGAGCCCAAATTTAACACAGATGTCTTCTGAAGTCTTCACTGTTCATCTACTCCACAATTAGAACTAACAACATTATCTGAAACTTTGATCTCCCTTAATTGATTTAATTTACTTGGTATAAAAACACACGCTGGAATATACAAGAGCGATGGGAAGCAAGTATTTACAGATGATTAAATATACAAAGTCTCAGACAGGTTCTCACCTTTCCAAAAGAAATGATGCTAAAATCTGTCACATGTTTTCTTGAACGTTTTCAGTCTCTTAGACATGAAGCTGGACCTACCTTCTACCCACAGCACATTTCATTAATAAAGCTGCTAAAAGCCCCCCTCCATTTACTGTGCGAGGCATACATTATGGATTAGACACAAGTATTTACCACAAGCACATGCAACCATAAACCAGAACAAGTTACGATTAAGGCACAATGCTAAATTTAGTGCTACTGTGCAATCTAATCTATAAAGAAATAAATCAAGCTAGCTCAACTTAGTACCTGGTAGCCTATACTGACCTTTACAGCTTTAGTCAAACACCCCAAATGGATACGTGACCCAAGTCAAGATCCAGTAATGTGTAGACCTATTGCCCAGGAAACCCCCAGCTGCATAATTGGCTTACATGAAATGAAATAGCTGACAGGAAGATGTGGATGGTTGAACCCCTGTTCAGAAGAGCACACTATAAGTAAGTATGTACAATTGCTAAAACCCCAAGTTTAACCAAACATGACTATAAATAAGCTCAGCTGACCCGAGTTCAGGAAAGGTGGAATGGCAGGGGCCAATGTCCCATTTGTGTGTGGATTTTCTAAAACCTGTGACAGCGTATCAGAACTGGTGTTTTCAATACACTCCTGTGGATTTCTTTTTAAATTATTTATGTAAAAAACAGCCACCCAACTCAGTACTAAATGAAGGTGCATTAGGACAGCTAGACAGTCTCCAGCCTCTTTAGAGACATGCCTAATGTAAATGAGCACTTAGTGGTTTACCAAAAGAGGGCTCACGTACATAAAGCACGTGCACAGCATGAGGACTCAAGCTAAATGCTGGAATAAAAGAGCAAAACAAAGAGAGTTCATCAACAAATCCAATTGCTGGGTATCGGATGCTACTGGTATGTGCAGGCTTTCATATAACCCCAGTGTGACAGTAAAAATAGAAATATTCAGAAAGATCAAAGGCTAAATGACTGAGGAAGCTCCCACGTATAGCACTGCATTAGAGGGAGGACGAAGTTTTAAGAGAAAGCCTGAGGACACTGAACAAGAGCACAACTGAGATTCCAAGCTGAAAATAGCTCAAGAGAAGTTCAGGCGCTGAGAGCAATCTTCCTCCGTCGAAGGGGGTAGCGTCTTCTTTCTGGTGAAGCTGCAGCTTTTCTTCTTTTAAGCAAAACATTTTTATTGGTATCAGTGTCTGTTGGTGTGACTTCTCCTGGTGAGATGAAATTTTGGACATTGGTTTCCTTCTCTGCTTTGCGAGCAAAGACTTCTTGCTGCAGCTTGCAGAGTTCCAAGGTTGGTTGCCAAGTTAACACTTGGGAAAAACCTTCTGCTCTTTCTATTAGTCCTGGGAGAGACTGCAAAAACAAACCCAAGTATCTCATGTTACATGGGGAAAGTAATGGTTACAGTGAATGAAATGGGTTCATAGAATCATAGAATGGTTTGGGTGGGAAAGGACCTTAAGATCATCCAGTTCCAACCCCTGCCACGGGCAGGGACACCTTCCACTAGAGCAGGTTGCTCCAAGCCCCTGTGTCCAACCTGGCCTTGAACACTGCCAGGGATGGGGCAGCCACAGCTCCTCTGGGCACCCTGTGCCAGCGCCTCAGCACCCTCACAGGGAAGAGCTTCTGCCTTAGATCTACCCTGAACTTCCCCTGGTTCAGTCTGAACCCATCACCCCTTGTCCTGTAGCTCCAGTCCCTGATGAAGAGTCCCTCTCCAGAATCCTTGTAGGATCATTCGATTCTGAAAGGCACAAAAGCTTCAGTGGCTGCAGAGAGGATCCTTCGGATGGCAGGTTAAGGTTGGCAACTCAGAGCTACCAGCCTAACAGTGACAAGGGTCTGTGCTGAAGAAGCCATGCAAAGAGTATGCCAAGTTTCCGTATTCCTGCATTACATCTCCAAGCTGAGAAGCACAGGAACACCACAGTTCATGTCAAGCTGGTACTGAAGTAATAAATGTCACGTGCTATATGAAGTTGTAGAGGTCTTCAAAATACGTTTTAGTTTTCAGATGCTGCAGGTTCTAAAATCTCTGTAAAAAACACCTACAGCCACAGGGTTATCTTCCTCACCACGATGTGAGATGTAATGCTTTACAGACGGAACTTCAGCAGTCCAAACCTGAAGATGCATTTACTTCAACAATACACACACAGGCTTTCTGGTGCAAAACCACAGCCAAGGTAAGCTAGAACTCCTGTTCTGTGATATGTTTATCAGATCAAGAAAATAAAGACTACCCTCTCAGAGCACACAGAGATCTCACCTTCATTGTTCCTCTGATGTGTTTGGATGCCGTTTCCATCAGCTGCTTCAGATCTGCGATGTAAGCATCTACAGAAAAACACAAAGCCCAAATGAACTTCTGAAACACGACTTCCTCCCCCCACTACCTGCTATCGACTTCTTAATAATCAAACAGAAAAGCAGTGGGGGTCCCTGTATAAACTTAAACCTACAACACACCCCTTTCATTATGGCATTGAGGACAAGAGCTTGTATGTTTTATCTTACTGTTATTTCTGCTTAACACTCAAAATGTAGTAGTGTCTAGCAGCCTCAACTATCACAAGCCACAAAGTTATTCACTAGAAAGCCTACGGCTTATACAAAACATGAAATGCAAAGACAGTGTTTGACATAAAGGAAGAGAACAGAAAAGATCTGTTTTCAAACCTTCCAAGGTCATAGTATATTTGATAAAAATGCATGAAAGAACACAACTGTGGAGACAAGTGAGGTAAAGTAAACCCATTTTTAAGGAGCTCCAACAAGTCAGCTTTTACAATGAAGGCTACATTTTTCTCCTGGCTTAGCTTACCAAGCATTAGCACCAAAACTAAAACAGAACCAAGCATAAACATGAACTGCATTAATTCTCTTGGGTTAATAAGCAAAGAAAGAAAAAGCAGCTTTCAGGAACACTGAAGCAGACAGCAGGTAGAGAATACTGGGTGGAAATGGTACATATTTGATTGCAGTAGTGATATAACATCATCAACACAATATGTGTTTTTGATGACTGATTTACAAGCAATAATAATTCTTCACTCAAAAGTTAAACTCTTCAAGTTCATATAAAACTGGTTTGCATGTTCTCTGCCATTCTGTCTCCAATGCTATGTCACCACCACCAAGACCCTAAAATGCACAGATAAGCAAGTGTTATATAGTGAAGATAACTTAAGTCAACCACTGTGTTCCAGCACAGGGTAACAGTGACCCCCTGCTCAAATACAGTGAGCAGCAAGAGATGGTGTTTGGTTAAACTGTCTCATTACATGCTCAGTATGCCGAGCAGGGATGGTTAAGGAACACACGACCCATGTATGAATGTGGATGCTAAAATGCACCATCATTCAGAGTTCAGTGCAAAAGCAGCCTCTTTAACACCCCACAGAGGCCTGTGAATGGACATCCTCTAAAAGGAGATGTCCATAATGAAGCATTCTTACAGGAAAGTATTTGGACTAGAAAGTTGGTGATGATATGAAAAGGCAAGGAAGGAGTTAAGTAAAAATAATTCCTTTGATAATTCCAGTTACACAGGAGGACTGACAGTTAAATGAAATGTGCCTGCAGGAGTGCAGCTTGACATGGACAGCATTATATTCCTCAGTGTTTAAAGCTTTCCAAAACATAGGGAAATGAAAAAAGGAAACGAAAGGTATTGAGTAATCTAAACATTTTTGGTTTCTGGCCACTGTACTTGCTAAACTGGGACACATAAACTTCCCAAAGACTACATAATACTAAAATTCAGCACAAACTCTATGCTATCTTAGCTCAGACTTTGCTGTTACCAAACCTAAAAGGGCAATACCATAATGCAAGCTGTTACTAACTTGCAAGAAGTATTGATTCATATCAGAAAAGTATAGACCTGGACACCAGAAACTAAAAGTAACTCAGCTCTGAAGCGACACTTTTTACTGCTCCTATTAGCTGCACAGGCTGGCAGTTCTGGAAGCAGTGTCTCCTGTTTACAAAGAGGAAATGATGCCTAGAATGAAGCCAGACCAGCAGGGTGAGAGCTAGAAGATTAAGCTCAGCTTCTCAAACTTTAACACCACTGCTTGTTACACCAGCTTTACACCACGTGCAGCAATCCATGGTGAGTGTTCTGTCATTACACCTTTCAACTTAGAACAACAATGGTAAATTGTGTTATTTTTCAACACTTAAGACTAGGCAAGACAAAGTTTTCGTTTCTTAAGGCCAACCTCAAAAGAAGTACATCCCAATCACCAACTGCAAAATACACTACCTCATTCCAAGGAGTTTGTATACTGAATCTTTCAAAAGCGTGTAGCAAACTTGTGGTGGTGTTTGCAGTTTTGCTTCTTCATCAACCCTTACAAATGTCAGAGGCAGGATAAAATTTGATGCTTACTCCGCAAGTTAGGAGAGTCCACACTGCCGTCACTGAGTACTAGGTGACTGCTTTCAATTCCCTGAAGAAACTGACTGATTAGGAAGAGAGACAGAAGCATTTCTAGTATTCATATAGAAGGAACACAAGAATGGTCAAAGTATAATGTCAGTGATCCATTTAGTTCCTTATCTGGCCTCCACCAGCAGTGAAGTAAGAAAACCTACTGAGAGTAGCAGCTCTGTGACAATTTCTACCCAATCCATCTTTAATTACAGTGCCTGACAGCAGACAGCACTTACGAGCAACGGACACCATGAACTGATGCAGCAATACATGCAGTCATGACAAACTTCTAGCTGGTTTAGTTAGTTATTTGAACAAGCTCAAAGAAAGAAAACTTCTTCTACATTTCCAGCTAGCCAGGCAGGCAGGCAGTGTTTCCTCAGGCAGTTGCCCTCCCCAGGAAATCTCTACCTTGAGAAGGTGGTGATCTTATCTCCTCTGGTGGTACCACAGGCTGGTAGAGCATCTGCATAGTCAAAACAAAGACAAATGCTGAAATAGCCTCTAGGTTTAATATACATTTAATGTACACAGAGCAGACAGAACAATGGAGAAAGGCTAATACAAGATGATGGTGGTGGAATTGTTTAGATAAGGGATGTATTAGAGATAAAGTTTATAGATAGATACTGGAAATAGTGTTCTGGTTAACAGTGATGTTCACTGCAAACATCTCCAAAATCTGCTGTAGCTTGCAGTATTGTAGTTATTAAAGCCTGAGAACTAAACTGGAATCCAGTTTTGGAAGATGCATTGCCACCTGCTGCACAACTGGGGAAAAAGCTGCTCTGGCTTCTAAGGAGCCATTCACAAAACCAGTAGTACACTTTCACAGGGGAGCAAACTCAAACAAAGGGTATATTACAACAAAAGCTAAGAAAAAGAAAACTATTTAGATGACTACATTCTAGCCCTGCAAGTACGTATGCGTAAGTAAGAAGACTCTGCTTCACAAGTCAAGCTGTCTGGCATTTTGGTCCTACTCTTAGTCTTGCGACTTGACATCAGTTAATTGTGACATGAAGTTAACTAATAACAACTAAGGAATATAACTAATATTTAGTTATATCAATGGTGAGATTACAAGTATCTAATGGGGAAGGAAACAAAGCAAACACATGGGAATGCAAGTTATATCACCTGGAGGTTACTATTTTTCTCCACTTCAGGAGCTGTCCCTTCAACCTTCTTCAGCCAAAAGCAAGTAGGAGAGAAGTTATTTATTCCTCCCTGTAGTTTTCCAGAACAATTTTTTCACAGTTGACAGATCCTCTTAGCAACCTTACAGTAACAATGCCAAGCAGAAGAACAAACATCGTCTGCATTATCCTCAAGCATAACAGAATGTATTGACTGAAAACCTACGTGGTGATCTCTTGCTTTGGCAATTACAGGGAGACCATCACACTAAGGAGTGATTCTCTCCAGATAAACTGCAGTTAAATACCACATCCTCAGAGCTGCTCTTTATGCCCCAGAAAACACGGATTCCACAAGTAGCTAGGGTTAAAAAAGAACATAAGAAGTCCTCAACCAAAAGCAGAGAAACCACTAGTACCAACACAGAAGCAGCCAAAAGGGGGAAAAAGGGCACTTCATTTACAGAGATAAAATAAAAAATTTTGTATAATTTGCAGACACTTTCAACCTAAAGAATCATCTAGTTGTAGTGGTGTAAAACTTGACAAGCTCAGCAGCAGGAAAACAGCATCTCTAAGGATGAAGACTCCACGGTCTCGCTGGGCAACCTATGCCAACAGTTTGACTACCGTCACAGCTGGGGTTTTTTGTTAATGGTTACATGGAATTTCCTGTGTTTCCACTTATTCCCACTGCCTCTTGTCAGGGTTTTTTTCACGCAAGGAAATTGACTCCCAATTAATCAGCACATAAGCAAAAGGCAGATCTAACTTTACAGTAGGAAACAAACGTAGCAACCAAGGACAAGACTACGTTGTTTACTGCCAGTAATTACACTCAGTGTCAAAAACCCCAGAGAAATTACTGCATCTATTCATTAATCCACATCACCTGTTTTTTCCTTTTCTTTCTTTACTGGAAGTACTTACTCAGTGCTACTTAAGTACTCAGCTCAACAAAGTGCTTGTGAAAACAGAGCCACCTTTTTAACAGCCTACACATCATCATGCCTATCTGTATGTTACAGAACATTTAGTACTTCAAGCAGCCTTCAGCCAAGGATTTCAGAAACCCAGATTTGACATCTGGATAACTAGGTGTACACCAGCTTATAAACCATGAGTTGAAGCAATCTGCTTAACTAACTTGTTGAACGGTGCCAGAAGCCCAGTTCACTCACAGTCATAACACTCTGTAGTAACCCTCATTTTACTGAAGAGCAAATTAATACAAAAAACCCAAATTTCATTATATAACAAAGAATCCAAAGCAACTATGGGAAGAAGCTTAAAAATCAAGGTTATTTTTTCAAGTTACATATGATCAGCAGCTACTATATGCAAAGGTTTTCTGAAAACCATAGGATACTCACCAACAACTCTTGCTCTGCTTTCATGGTTTGGGTAGCATGAATCAGTATCTTTTTAGGCCACTGCTTACGCTTTGTTGTTGTCACTACTATTAGTTTATCAAATTGATCTTCAAGAGTTTTAATGTCAGAACCTAAAAATGACAAACACACAAAGTCATTGTAGGAATTCTACTTTTTTGGTGTTTTGTTTTTTTTTTTAATTTGAGATAAAGTAATGAGAAAAAGAGAGATTTAGATCTGCGATAAGAAATCATGCATGATTATCAAGGAAGAGATAAATACATGCCTTGTATCTTCTTTGTAAGGCAATACAGAAATGGGAGCAGAACACGGGGGATGGGGAGGTGGAGAATCATCTGGGGCAAAAATCAAACCCATATTTCCCTATGAACTCTGAAGATATCAAGAATGTCTCACAAAGAAATTGCTCTCTTTTCAGAGAACTTGTTTTCCAGCCGAAGAAAAGCAACACAAGATGCAGCAAGAAAAATCTGTGTAAGTTACAAGTATTATACAAATACCAACTACCCAAACAGTCATTTGAAGCCAAATGATTTTATTTCATATAGAGGACAAACAGGCAGTTGAACGTGACAATGAAACACAGTTCCTGGAAATACTCTGCATCCTGATGACACCTGTAATCCCTAGTTGGAAGGAGTTTGCAAAACCCGAAACGTATCTGCTTTCAGGATCAGAGGCCCAAGAGACTGTTTGCAGTAGGACCTAACTTCATAGCTTGCTTCTCCACTCCTAAGACTCAGTACCTAGAATATATTTTAAGCTTTTAATCGGTGTTTTCCCTACTCAAGACATATTCACTGTTCCCACTAATGTCTTGAGCACAACCTGCATGCCATGCAATGTTTTCCACCTAGTGATAAGGAACTGATTTTGAGCACCCTCTCTGGGGCAACCTGTGCAGAATGAGGTGATTGTAAACCTCAGAAAGGAAAACTCAAGGTTTTAAGAGTTTGTGGGTTTGTTTGGTTTAGGATCACCATGGAATCATTTAAGTAGAGAGAGGACACATTTAAGCCACTGTTCAGTGTAAATACTGGAGGCACAAAATGCCAGATCACTGAGTGATGGTGATTCCAACTGGATCAGAGATAAATTTAAGTGGAACTGAAAAGCACAATACAGTCCTTACACCTTATGCCAACTGCAGGAAGATGGCAGTATCTCAGCTGGCATAAAGTTAGACTTGTACAGACAAAGGATAACTTACTGAAAACAACATTCATCTGGGCAAAGTTTTCCTGTTAAGAAAACCATGTTGAGAATTTTTTGGGCAAATCTGAATTAGTGAAGTGAGCCTGAATGAGTCTGGCATTTTGCATCATGAGACCAATGCTTTTCCGACCTTGTAGTCAAAGGAATCGGAGTTTTATCATTCTAGAACTACAACTGCAGAAGCTTCCTAACCAAAAGAGCTCAAGGAGCTCCCTCTCCACAGCCAGTTCAACATATCTCTATTTTCAGCTTTGTGCAACTGTAAAAAGCATCAACTTGCAGGCAAAGAATACCTAATGCTAACACAGGAAGAAAATGAATGGTACTGAAATTTTCTCTGGACACCAGACTACTAAGAATCTCTACTATTATTATTCAAAAGACAGTAAGTATAAACATAGTGTATATATTAGATATAAATAGCAGTAATTCTAACCATTTACTTAATTTGTATATTAAATAGTAGCAACAGACATACTACTAGGTTCTCTTGACAGGAAGAGATCTTGGCCAGTGTCCCCAACACAAGGTCACACAGGGGCCTCAGGAAGGCTCCTGTGACTGGAGCCTCCTGCTCACAGCTGGATCAACTCCCAGTTCAAACCAGGTTGCTCAGGACACTTTTACCCAGTTGGTAGCTGGAAGCCTCCAGCGCTGGAGACCGCACTCTCTGAGCAACCTTTCCCACTGCTCAGTTATCCTAACGGTGAGTTTTTACTTCCTTACATCAAGTCAGAATCTTCCCTTTCGATGTGAGCCTTGCCTCTGGTTCTCCCACTGCACACCTCCATGAAGAGCCTGGCTCTGTGTTCTCAGTGACCTCCCTGTGGGTACTGGAAAGCTGGCTTGTCTTCTTGGGCTCAACAAGCCAGTTCCCTCAGCCTCAACTCATAGGGCAAGTGCTGCAGTCCTCTGGCCACCTGGCAGCCTCTGATGAACTCACTCCAGTTGATCAACAACTTTCCTGTGCTGGGGGTGGGTCCTAAACTGAGTGCAGTGGTCCAGATGTGCTCCAGCAGCGCAGAGTAAAGGCAAATAATCACTTCTTTCTATCTACTGACTACGCTCCTGTTGACACAATATACTGGGTTGGCTCACGGTTAGCCCCCCAGGACCCTCAGGTCCTTTTCATCCCACACCTCTGCAGGGGGTTATCCCTTCCCAGGTTTAGGGCTCTGCTTTTGTCCTTGCTGTATTTCATGAGATTCCCAGATGCATTTCTCCAACCTGTTTACATTCTACTGAATATCAAATACTTTGGGAGAGTCTATAAGCTACTTTTCTGTGGCAGTCAAGAGCAAATCCTTAAGTTATATTATCACCATACTACTGATAGCTGGAGCTTGTGCCTCAAGAATGTCGACAGAAGTGTCAAACAAGCAACAGCCCTTCAGATAAAGCACTTTGCCCTTCTCTCTTCTCTTGGATACAGGTCTCTAAACATCTTGGTTACTCTTATTTTCATTTACAAGCACTGCTCTGCAAGAATGGTGCTCCCACAGTGCAGCACTGCACATCTGAGCACAGGTACATCTGAGCTGGAGTCTGACCTCCCCTGCTCCGTGAGCATCCTTACAACCACCGCCCAACTCAACATACCACAAGCAGAAACCAAAACAAAACCACCCAGCAGATCAATGGGAACACACACATACCACTCTGCGGCTTGGAGTCATCGTTAGTCTCATCCCAGGGCTGCCCATTGATGGTGACATTCTCCTGCACCGCTGTTTTGAAGTTCTGCAAGACACAGGAGAGCTTGAGCAGCCCTCCTTCAGCTTCCCGAGGAGCAGCCCTCCTTCAGCCTCAGGAAGGAGGCTTCAGGAAGCATCCTCCAGGCACACATATGTGATGCCTGCAGCTAAAAAGTCTGCTCCTCCCTCATTGCCCTGCCTGGGTTAGCCCCATCAGGGTGAACAGATACGTCTGTGATTCAGCTATGTAGAATCCTAGACTCAGCCAGACTGGAAAAGACCTTTAAGCTCATCAGGT